TCCCATTTGCAGGGTGAGAGGGGAGTTTGAGCTCAGGTAGATCTGAAGAACTCCCCTGCTGTTGTAGCTAATGAACAGATAGGGATGGCTCTTCAGAGATAACTACTGACTAGGAGCATGTCTATGGTGCCGAATCGGATTAGTCGATTGAGTTAAGTTGCATGTTTTTGGAAGATGGGAGGAAACCGGGGAGCCCGGGGGAAACCCACATGAGCATGAGGAGAACATGTAAACTCCACACAGAAACGTCAGCTGGCTTGAAAGTTAGCCCAATAATTAAACAAAATGATCCCAATGATCATTCAAAACTATCCCAATGACAAAAAAAAAACTAGCCAAATGACCCATCAAAATTAGCTCAATAACCAACCCAAACTACCCAAAATTATCCCAAACGACCCATTAAAATTTGCCTAATAACCAACCAAAGGTAGCCCAAAAATATCCCAATTAACCCATGAAAATTAGCCCAATAAGTATAACCAACCAAAATTAGCCCAAAATTTCCTTAATTGACCCATCAAAACTATCCCAATGACCAACCAAAATTAGCCCAATGACCAATTAAAACTAGTCTGATGACCAACCAAAACTAGCCCTAAATTACCTTAAATGACCCATCAAAACCATCCCAATGGTTAACCAAAAATGGCCCAATGACCAATTAAAACTAGTCCAGTGGCCCAGCCCAATGACCAACCAAAACTAGCCCAAAATTACCTCAAATGACCCATCAAAACTATCCCAATGACCAACCAAAACTATCCCAATGACCAACCAAAATTAGCCCAATGACCAACCAAAACTAGCCCAAAATTACCTCAAATGACCCATCAAAACTATCCCAATGACCAACCAAAATTAGCCCAATGACCAACCAAAACTAGCCCAAAATTACCTCAAATGACCCATCAAAACTATCCCAATGACCAACCAAAATTAGCCCAATGACCAACCAAAACTAGCCCAAAATTACCTCAAATGACCCATCAAAACTATCCCAATGACTAACCAAAATTAGCCCAATGACCAACCAAAACTAGCCCAAAATTACCTCAAATGACCCATCAAAACTATCCCAATGGCCAACCAAAAATGGCCCAATGACCAATAAAAACTAGTCCAGTGGCCCAGCCCAATGACCAACCAAAACTAGCCCAAAATTACCTCAAATGACCCATCAATACTAGCCCATTGACCAAACAAAATAGCCCAATGACCTATAAAAACTAGTTCAATGAACAACCAAAACTAGCCCAAAATTATCTCAAATGACCCATCAAAACCATCCCAATGGCCAACCAAAATTAGCCAAATGACAAATAAAAGCTAGTCCAGTGGCCCAGCCCAATGACCAACCAAAACTAGCCCAACATTACTTCAAATGACCCATCAATACTAGCCCAATGACCAACCAAAACTAGCCAAAACTAAAAAAAAGTAGATTACCATACTAACAAAACACATATTTTGATGGCCTTCAGATGGAAAAAACCCTCATGTAGAGTTTGTGTGATTGCTCTAGAGGTTGTCAAAACCTGTTAAGAACTTTTTGGAGACTGATGTTCTTGTGCTGATGCTTTAGAGTTACAATAACAGAATCAAAGATACATAAAAGCAGAACTGTGCCTCCGGCGACCCCCCTTTTATTCTCAGAAACTCAGAGTGTTTGCCGATCTGCCTGCATTCTGCCCTATCCAATGAAGCCACATGAAGGCCAAAATTATGCGTTCAAAAACAAAAGCAAGACCTTCTTTCTTACCACGAGTGAGCTGAAGCTAATGGAAGATGAAGATGTGAGATGATGAGAGTTGTAGGAAAAGTAACTGGTTGAAAATCGATTAAAGTATGTGAGGATTCTAATGTTTGAGAAGCCAAAGAAATCATGATACAACTAGAGTAGGACTACACTAACACTAGCCAAATTACCCATCAAAACAAGCTCAATGGTCAATCAAACTTATCCCAATGACCAACCAAAACTAGCCCAGCATGATTTCAAATGACCCATCAAAACTAGCCCAATGACTAGCAACAACTAGCCCAAAATAATAAAAAATGCCCCATCAAATCAAGCCCAATGACCAGTCAAAACTAGCTCAGTGGCTAACCAAAATTAGCCCAATGACCTTTCAAAACTAGCCCATGACTAGCCCAAAATTATCCCAATTAACCTATCAAAATTAGCCCAATAACCAACCAAAAGTCCAAAGATTACCAAAAATTAGCCCAATATTCGAACAAAATTATCCTAACGATTAATCAAAACTATCCCAATGACCAATTAAAACTAGCCCAATGGTCAATCAAAACTAACCCAATGACCAATTAAAACTAGCCCAATGGTCAATCAAAACTAGCCCAATGGTCAATCAAAACTAGCCCAATGACCAATCAAAACTAGCCCAATGACACTCAAAACTAGCCCAATGACCAATTAAAACTTGCCCAATGACCACTCAAAACTAGCCCAATGACCAATTAAAACTTGCCCAATGACCAATCAAAACTAGCCCAATGACCAATCAAAACTAGCCCAATGACCACTCAAAACTAGCCCAATGACCAATTAAAACTTGCCCAATGACCAATCAAAACTAGCCCAATGACCAATCAAAACTAGCCCAATGACCAATCAAAACTAGCCCAATGACCAATTAAAACTTGCCCAATATTCAATCAAAACTAGCCCAATGACCAATCAAAACTAGCCCAATGACCAATCAAAACTAGCCCAATGACCAATTAAAACTTGCCCAATATTCAATCAAAACTAGCCCAAATGACCCATCAAACCTATCCCTAAAAAAACAACCAAAACTAGCCCTGAATGATTCCAAATAACCCATCATAATTAACCCAATAACCAAACAAAACAAACCAAAATTATTTCAAACGACATATCAAAATTTGCCCAATAACCAACCCGAACTAGCCCAAAATTACCCCAAAATGGCCCATCAAAACTATACCAATGACCAACCAAAATTAGCCCAATGACCAATCAAAACTAGCCCAGTGGCCCAGCCCAATGACCAACCAAACTAGCCTAAAATGATCACAAATGACCCATTAAAACTAGCCCAATAACCAACTAAAACTAGCCCAAAATTAAACCAAATGACCCATCAAAACTAACACAAATGATTCATCAAACCAGCTCAATGACCAATCAAAACTACCCCAATGGCCTAGCCCAATGACTAACAAAAACCATCCCAAATGACCAATCATAACTAGCCCAACATTATCCCAAATGATCCATCAAAACTAGCCCAAATGACCAACCAAAACTAGCCCAGCAGGATTTAAAATGATCCATCAAAACTAGCCCAATGACTAGCAACAACTAGCCCAAAATAATCAAAAATGACCCATCAAATCAAGCCCAATGACCAGTCAAAACTAGCCCAATGGCTAACCAAAATTAGCCCAATGACCCTTCAAAATTAGCCCATAACTAGCCCATGACTAGCCCCAAATTATCCCAATTATCAATCAAAATTAGCCCAATAACCAACCAAAACTGGTCCAAAATTATCCCAAATGACCCATAAAAACTATCTCAATGACCAACCAAAATTAGCCCAATGACCAATAAAAACTTGCCCAGTGGCCCAGCCCAATGACCAACCAAACTTGGCCAAAATGATCCCAAATGACCCATCAAAACTAGTCCAATGACCAACCAAATCTAGCTCTAAATGATCCCAAATGACCCATCAAAGCTAGCCCAAATTAATCCCAAATGACCTATCTAAACTAGCCCAAAATAATCCCAAATGACCCATCAAAGCTAGCCCAAAATTATTACAAATGCCCCATCAAAACTAGCCCAATGACCAGTCAAAACTAGCCCAATGGCTTACCAAAATTAGACCAATGACCCTTCAAAACTAGCCCATAACTAGCCCATGACTAGCCCAATGACCAGTCAAAAGTGTGCTCTCGATGTCATCATCCTAGCACAGTTTTTGTTATTGGTAGAAAATAAATTCTGTTGAGTAAATCATTTCAACACAACCATATAAATTACAACTGATGCAAAATGTCAAACCTCAAACCCACAGAATGAAATAAACAACTAAAGTAGCCAAAATCTATGGATTTGGGAACCCCAGGGGTGCTTTGTTTACAGCGCTAACCCCGGAAACAGCAGGAAATAGCGCTGCTGTTTATAAGCGCCTCCTGCTGGCAGAGAGAGAACCTGCAGCTCATTCAGATTCTGCTGTTTCCTTCATGTATACCTAAATATATTAAAATAAATAAATTTATTAATGTATTTATTTATTTATTTATTTATTAACAAAGTTAAAGTCAGACTGTTGTGTTTTTGCTTCCAGTAACGAAATGATTCAGTCTAATTTAGAGTAAGAACTGTTCATGGGCTGCATCTTTGTTTGGGTTATGATTAGCCACTTTTAACTTGAAATGTAAATATTTTGTATTTATTAAGTGAATTATTTTAATTTGTTTCACGTATTTATTTGATTTTAACGTTTATTTTTAATTTATTTTTAACTTAGTTCTACAATAACACACCTTTTAATTTATCATACAGTGTCTTTAATATTATTTCATAAATTATCAGAGATAGTAAATTGTGAATAGAATCGTAAGTTCAGTGAATTGTTTGATTCATGGACTGTTGAAAACATAATGGATGCGAACAAATGCAACAACAACTGCAATCAATGTTATGTTTTAACTTATTTCATTTTAGTTTTGTAATAAACAACCTTTAATTTACCATACATTAAATTTTGAAATAAAAAAAATATATATATAATAAATCTTGAGAGATCGGATCGTGCTTCGACTTATGAATTGAATCTTGAGTTCAGTGAATCGTTTGATCCCTGGAATTTTGAAAACGTAATGGATGCGGGGAAATGCAGCAGCAACCACAATTAAAGATATGTTCAACTTATTTCTATTTAGCTTTGCAATAAACAATCTTTTAATTTACCATATATTCAATTTTGTAAATAAAACAACAACAAATAAATCGTGAGAGATTGGAAGTTGAATCGAACTTTGAACCGACTCTTGAGTTCAGTGAATTGTTTGATCGTTCTGTTGTTTTTCTTCCTCAGTTGCGGCTGCTGGTGGAGTTAGTTTGGCCTTTATTCCTCTTCTTTATTCTCGTGGCGGTCAGATCCACCAATTATCCTGTTTATAAAAGCGAATGTAAGTATTTCCTAAATCATATTCAAGTTTCTGCCGTCAAACTTTATGTAGATGCCATGAAAGTGATCGTGTGTGGGTGTTTGCTAATTAGAGAATCTCAGTGGAAGGTAATTAGTATAATATACATCGTAATTGCCACTGTTAATTTAATGAACCGCGAATAATTACATTACATTATTATCTCCATGTTTTTGTGTATATTGTGTTTACTTGTGTAAGCTTGTTTGTTATAAGTTATTGAGATAAGCTTTTAGTGTTTGATATGAAATAATCTGATGTAGACTTTGTAAACTTAATGTAAACTTACTTTGTAAAGTAAAAAAATGCGGTGCACCAAAATTCAGTATCAAAACACTGAAAATAAACTGAATCAGGTTGAAAAATGAAACTCAAAATAAAAAAATAAATAAACATAACAATAACAAAGGAGTTGTTATATTAAATTTGTAAGAATGTAATTATATTTGTATTTTGATTAATTGATTGATGCACCATACAGTAACTGTTTAAATAGTGGCTGTGATTAAAAAATGATATGTATTATTGTTACACGTATTAACATTAAAATAAAGACAAAAGCTATTATATTATATTATATTATATTATATTATATTGTTTATATTATATTCTTATTTATATTAAATTAAATTATGTTAAATAATTATTAAATAATTCTTTTAAAAAAAAGTTATATTCAAACATTAAAAATTAACACCTATTATATTATATTTTATTTTATTAAAATTAATATTAAATTATTTTTAAAATAAGTTATATTCAAACATTGAAAATTAAGATAACACATTGTATTATATTATAATATTTTATATTTTAATATATTATTATTTATATTAAATTAAATAATATAAAAATTATTAATAAGTTATCTTTTAAATAAGTTACATTAAAATATTAAACATTAAGACAGCTATTATAGTATATTATTAAATGACATTATATTATAATATTATATTATATTGCATTATATTATCTCAAACTAGATTAGAATATTATTTATAATAAATTATATTAGATTAGATTTTAATATATTAGCAAAAAATTGACATTTTCAAACCTGAAATACAGTTAGTAATTACAAAAAAAAAATAAAAATAAAAAATATATATATATACATGTGTGTGTGTGTGTGTGTGTGTGTGTGTGTGTGTGTGTGTGTGTGTGTGTGTGTGTGTGTGTGTGTGTGTGTGTATATATATATATATATATATATATATATATATATATATATATATATATATATATTATTGGATGGGAGGTGCATTCAAAATAATGTTTAGTGACTTATAATTCACAATTAACTACAGACAGCGTAAACAACATGATCAACGTATTATTAGTATTATTATTATTAACTAAAAATAAGCAACAAGCAAATTTGATTTACACTAATTCAATTGTAAATGCTTAATTATTTATTAAGTTTATTAATGATTAAGTTTATGTATTAACAGATGCTTAATTGTCCCCTTTAATTGAATGTTGTTTTCCCTCTCAGGCCACTACCCCAATAAGCCCCTCCCCTCGGCAGGTGTGTTGCCATGGATACAGGGCATGTTGTGTAACATGCAGAACCCTTGTGTCAGTTTCCCCACACCTGGAGAAGCTCCTGGACAGGTGAACAACTTCAACAACTCCACGTGAGTCTCACAAAAAGCACACAAGTTACCGCCTTTAAAAAAGGACTGACAAACGCATTTTACTGCAACATGAAATAAAAATATAAACTTATCCCGATGTTTATTTAGAGTGACGAAGGTGTTGGTGGAGGTTCAGTCTCTGCTGGCGGATCCTGCTTTCTTCAGCTCTGCTAAACTGATCTCTGATGATTTCAGCCAGTGGACGTCTGTCCTGCAGAACACAAACACAAGCGCAGGTAAACCATTTAATAATCCCTGAAATCTAAACCTGTCAAAACTGATGGACTGAAGGAAATGCAATATACACTCACCGGCCACTTTATTAGGTACACCTTACTACAACCGGGTTGGACCCCCTTTTGCCTTCAGAACTGCTTTAATGTTGCATGGGTAGATTCAACAAGCTACTGGAAATATTCCTCAGAGATTTTGCTCCATATTGTCATGATAGCATCACACAGTTGCTGCAGATTTGTCGGCTGCACATCCATGATGCCAATCTCCCGTTCCACCACCTCCCAAAGCTGCTCTATTGGATTGAGCTCTGGTGACTGTGGAGGCCATTTGAGTACAGTGAACTCATCGTCATGTTCAAGAAACCAGTCTGAGATGATTGAGCTTTATGACATGCTGCGTTATCCTGCAGGAAGTAGCCATCAGAAGATGGAGACACTGTGCTCATAAAGGGATGGACATGGTCAGCAGCAATACTCAGGTAGGCTGTGGCGTTGACACGATGCTCAATTGGTACTAATGGACCCAAAGAAGATCTCCCCCACACCATTACACCACCACCACCAGCCTGAACCACTGATACAAGGCAGGATGATCCATGCTTTCATGTTGTTGAGGGCAAATTGTGAGCCGAGCATCTGAATGTGTCAGCAGAAATGGAGACTCATCAGAGCAGCAACGTTTCTCCAATCTTCTGTTGTCCAGTTTTGGTGAGTCTGTGTGAATTGTAGCCTCAGTTTCCTGATCTTAGCTGACAGGAGCGGCACCCGGTGTGCTCTTCTGCTGCTGTAGCCCATCCGCCTCAAGGTTGGACGTGTTGTGTGTTCAGAGATGCTCTTCTGCAGAGCTCGGTTGTAATGAGTGCTTATTTGAGTTGCTGTTGCCTTTCTATCAGCTGGAACCAGTCTGGCCATTCTCCTCTGACCTCTGGCCTCATCAACAAGGCATTTGCGCCCACAGAACTGCCGCTCACTGGATATTTCCTCTTTGTCGGAGCATTCTCTGTAAACCCTAGAGATGGTTGTGCGTGAAAATCACAGTAGATCAGCAGTTTCTGAAATACTCAGAGCAGCCCGTCTGCAAACAACAACCATGCCACATTCAAAGTCTCTTAAATCCCCTTTCTACCCCATTCTGATATCCTGATATAATTTATGCATGCTTGTATTTTTCTTCACAATTCAAGCTTTAAATGCATATATATATATATTTTTTAAAAGTACTTTATGCCTCATGAATCATTATGATATAATTCACTACTTAAAAAATTAATTAATTAATACATTTTTAGCAATTTTTCTATATTTTTTATATTAGCAGTGCTGAAGTGAAACAAAGTTCAAATTAAAATTGTGTCAGTTTTTAATGCTCGAGTATAAATTCTCCCTAAATGAGTCATAAAATCCTAAAATAATGTATTATTGTATGTATTTTTCTTCATAAGTCAGGCTTTCTAAAGCAAACGTGTTTTGCCCTTGCTGTTTCTCCCACATTGACCCGACAGCAGTGCCTCTGCCTGGATTTACAGCAGTGTTTGTTGGTGCGTCAGCGCGGGTCGTATATCTCAGTGTTTATTCGGACCGTTTAGTCTAATGATATTCAGATTTCTGAAGAAGCTCATTTGCAAATAGGCCGTGGTGTGTTGTGTTGTCAGGCCGTGGTCACCGCCACGCGCACATTTGCATTCCGGGGCAGTGAACTTCTATTATACGAGATTAAATTCATCAGGAGATCTAAGAGAGAGTAATTAACTCTCAGCATTGCCAGGCGCTCGACTGGAGCAGGAACCAATCAGAGCGCGAGACGAGTGAAGCAACCAATCAGAGCTCAGGATGACGTGATGCAACTGTGTATGATTGAGGTTCGAGGTGACGACTCCAATCTCTCTCAAACTGAGCATGTTTGTCCGTGTCCGACCTGTTTGGAGAGGATTGAAGAGACGATAATAAAGACTCGGATAATGCGCCCTCGCTAATCAGTGCAGTGTCTGATATTCACCCGCTAATTAGCTCTACTCGATATGTATTAGCCAGGTCAGGCGGCTCTTTCCACTGCATCCCATTGATGGGGATTATGACAGCGTCTCTCTGTCGCAGTGGATGTTGGTTGATTTGATTGATTGATTGGTTGATTGATTGATTGATTGATTGGTTGAATGTTGATTGACTGGATTGGTTGGATGTTGGTTTAAAGATTGGTTGATTGGTTGATTGATTGATTGATTAAATGCTGATTGATTGGATTGGATGTTGGTTTGAACGTTAATTGATTGGTTGATTGATTGATTCATTGGTTGGTTGAATGATGATTGATTAGATTGGATGTTGGCTGAACATTGGTTGATTTGATTGATTGATTGATTGATTGATTGAATGTTGATTGATTGGATTGGATGTTGATTTGAACGTTGATTGATTTAATTTATTGATTGATTGATTGGTTGGTTGATTGATTGAATGTTGATTGATTGAATGATTGATTGAATGATTGATTTATTGGTTGTTTATTGGTTGTTTGGTTGGTTGGTTGGTTGAATGTTAATTGTTTGGATTGGATGTTGGTGTTAACATTGGTTGATTTGATTGATTGATTGATTGATTGATAGATTTTTTGATTGATTGATTG